TGGTGCCCTTAAACTATCTGATATCCCAAAGACAGAGCTCTCACCATCATGCCTCTGTTACCTGCCCTTTGCTAAGGTCACTGTTATTGCATAGGCACTTCTCAAAGAGGAGCCCCTGAGATACACCACCCCCTGCCAAGCAATGAGCTGTATTTGGGAATAGCCCAGGTGACCCCTACTAGGGAATTTAAGCTCCCACTGTCCCCAGCTAACTGTTTTACAAGATGATGATGCCCATTTCCAGAACCATTGAAAGCATTCTGTACACTATATGCAGCTATGGCATGCCCGCAGCATTCAAAGGGGGAATGCATAACCGTAGTGCTGGTTATTCAGCTGCCAGGAAAAAAAACTATTCCCACCAGCAGAGCAAGAAAGGAGTTGTTCAAGACAAGCTCTTATACTTATTATCCACATTCACACCACCACCAGCCTTCCTTGTACATATATGTAAACTGACAGCTTTTTCTCCTTCAGAGGCGATTAAGTATTCCCTGCATCATTTCCTACGCAAGAGACTAGTAAGGTGTATAAACATAACTACTAATTCATCCCTGCTAAAGACTTCACCATTGTCACCTAATTATTGTTTGTACTAATTAAAACACTGTATGCAGATCAAGTCAACACTGTGACACTACATCAAAAACATCTAAGCACTTCATCTTATGGCTAAAATATGCAGGCATGTTTTTCATCATCAGAACACTTCCTTTCTAATTTAGAAGTGAATTAGGCACCACTGCAAGTTTGTGACTCAAAGATAACCGAAAGACTTCTCCTGGCTTCTTGTGTTTTCAATTTGCAAGTGCTGCAAGAGGTTTAATAGTAGCTGTAATTCTCTGTGCTTCACCAGAAGTCCCCAAGAGGCCAGCCACAATGCTAGTTTCTCAGAAGTAAGCCATTACACTTGCTTGCTATAAAGATCAGGATGCAGAATAGATGTGAAATACAATGTAATTAAGAACTCTTTCACCAAGAGCCATTTCCTTCGGGACATTATTCAGAAAGCCTGAGTGTTTTGATGAAAGCCAATGAAGACCAATCCCCTCAGCCAGGTAGCAAGGGCTACCTCTCATGATGATTACTTTCTTCAAAATTAAGAATCCCCATCAGTTGTCTACTCATTGTAGATTAGGCTGAAACAGAACATTGACTAAGTTGCTTAATGTTGAGTTACACTGTTTAGTTCACAACAGACAAGTACCTGAATTCCCCATGGGGTAGGTCAGAATAAGAAAAGCCAAAGTAGCCATTGGATTATGCTCTGAAAAACCTATTTCTCATACTGAAGGCTAAAAAATAATTCAAGATTCTGTTGATTTGTTGTTTGGGGCCTGAGGTTATAAAAGAGTAAAGCCAGATGAGAAATACAAGGTACTGGAAGGCCTACAACTTGGAAAAGAAGAGTAATGGTCGCTTGCCATTTTAAAAGAAAATGAAAGTTTTACAGGACACATTAACCTGTTCTAAAGCCTGTTCTTACCTTTCTTCACCCTAAGTTTCACAGCTCAGCAGAGCAGAGCTATCTGACAGGTCACTCCATGGTCTTTGGCAGGGTATGCATCCATAATATAGCACCTTTCTATAAGGGGCAAGAAATGTGTAATAGCTAATCAGCACAAGGGCTCTAACAGCTTGCAGGCAACAGTAACCCTTGCTCCCAGCACCTTGGAAAGGAAGCCTCCCACAATAAGGACAACAGTTCAAGATAGAAATAATCCTATATAGCAATGCTGCACCTGGGATTTCTCAAAGACCAGAGAACTGACATTTCCTAACAGCAAAGCAATGAAGATGACATGGGAGTTTACACAATGCCAGCCAGACTTGCAGGCTTCTCTTCTCTTTAGAATGGCCTGAATGCCTGCAGAAATACACACCACCTCAGTGATGGTTTCTTTGAAAGTGTGCACTAAGGACAATTCAGATCAGTGAATTTAGAAAAGTTGAATTTAACAATTGAGATTTGACCATACTTGAGCAGAACTTTTGCCCAAACTGTCATGACACATTGGGGACACACAGTTAAACCTCCCTACCAGTCACAAGAAATTCATACAGGGTGGCCATCACTGGGACATCATTTTGTCACAACTCAAGGTGATCGATGCATTGGAACAGTGACTACAGTTAAACTGAGAGCTAGCACATGACTGGGAGTTGAGATGCTCTTGCAGCGTATGCCTTTGCATTGTTCAGCCAAGCTGCATGGGCCACCATTGCTAAATGAGCATAAAGTATGAACCTGCATATGAAATGAACTTAAGGAGGAGTATTAAAATCCCTTAACGTGCTCTTACCTACACTGGAAAGAATAAAAAGCTTTGCTCCTCCATCTTTGTGAAAAAGCCTGAAGAACATCAGATGGCCAAAGCTACAGAGATGGCATGTACCATTAGAGAGTAAAGGAAACAAGTTAACAGGCTGATTCTTTGTTTATTAGGAGACCTACACAAGGCAAGAAATTCAGTACAAGCATCCTGCAGCTCTAGAAGAATTTGAGTCACTGATTAATATACACACACACCCCACACACACTTCTAAAGGAGAGGCACTCACCCGGGTATAGTTTAGGCAATGAACAATAACCGAACAGAGCACTTTTTGCTGCAGTCACTTTAAGTTTACTGAACAATTCTGGGTAGAAAAAACAGAAAAGTGAGACCACATTAAAGCAAATCCTTGTCAGAGGGAAAGAAAACAGCTAAAACATTTCTTAAAGGCATAGGCAATTAAGCACATGTTCAGAATTCACATTTGAGATTCAAGGATAATAAAGACATAGGGTTTTTTCCCATGCAGGAGGATTTCTTATTTATAAACCAAGAGAAAAATACTTTCAGCAAGTCAAAACTAACCCTTCCAGAAAAAGGGTCCTTCACCCAGTCAAAGACTATTACTCACACAGCAGCGTTTGTTAGAAACCAAAATAACATATTATTCATATCAAGTCCTTACATTCAGTCAGCCCCACCCCTCCAACACCTCATTTTTCCTATTTAGTTTAGCATTTTGCTGAGATGTAGCATAAGGCTAACATTTTCTATGATTTACTTCTTGAAGCTACTTGATATGTACCAGATTAAAAGCAGCCCTACTACATACACATAAAAAACAGCCTTATTTCACCTTCTTCATTTCACATTGTCCTTCCTCTTTGAAGAAAGCCCACTCCCCACTGGGTAATGTGCTCTATTTATCAGCACCTGGAGAGAACTCCATAACAGGACTTGGCTGTATATTGCAGTACCCCACTAACATACTACCTTTCATCTATTAAACACCTGAATTTTCAACCTGAAGGATGCCCATTAAATTTCACTAAACTAATACTTGGATATATTTTTGGCTCCTCATAATACATACCTAAACAAAATCCTCTGGCTACTACTACAATTAACATGCTGATAAAACAAAGGGTTTATTTAGCTACAATTCATATATACACTGACAAGAAATTAAAGCATCATGTAGCATATAAAGGGGGGGAATCAAGTAACAAGACAAAACATGAAATTCCTATATCATACAACAGACACTCTATCATTAATTAAGTGATTTTCACCAGCTGAGTTCTACCTTCACTTTTAAAAAGTTGTTTGCTATATTCTCTGCTTGTCATGTCCTATAAAGCTTGACCTGGTTTAAGTCTTACAGCTACCACTCTGAAACTAGAATGTGTCTCAATCTCCCAGGTTCATTGGACACAGGTAAAAACTCAGTTCATTTGTCAATCTCCAGCTCAGAGTTCATCCTGTATCTTCCAATATCTTATCACTCCCAAGCAAAGGTTTCAAATCACAATTGAAGTACAAATCTAACAATTAAAACAAGGTCTACTGAAGAGGGAAGTAAGGTTTACATCATCGGATAACACTACTTCTGCAGTTCCCATCACAAGCCCCAGGTAAAATAAATCTTTAGCACAAGTTCTGTAACAGTTTATTTTCCATTCTGAGAGAATAAGAGAATGTGGGACAGCAAGAACTTCCTATGACATTCCTGGTACGTGTTTCATAGGTTAACAGTTTGATTCATTGCCTTTAATAAAAGACATATCCATGTTTTCTTCCAGGAACGCTGAGGTACCACCCTAATAGGAGGATCTGAAAGACAGTGCTGGATGGTAACTCACAGTGTGAGCTTTATCCAAAACACATCTCCAACAAAGATGCACTTTGCTGAGGCTCAGACCTACTCCAATGAATCTTGGTATAAATACTGTTATTAGAGTAATTTTTTTTTGTTCCAGGGGACAGCCTAGGGAACCCCTGAGTCACTGCAGGTTTTAGTCACTATTTTAGAGCTATGCAGACAGGCAGGCAGTAATTTAACAAGAAAATGCTTATGTTATGTAGACAATGAAGAAGACCTGGAGACAAATAGATTTTAGTTACAGAATCTGTTCTATATTAAGAAGCAAGCTACACACACTGCTTGAAAGCTTTGCCACGTCTACCTTTCAGGACTGCCTAGAGCTCTGTTACAGGCATCAACACCCTCTGTGAGGGAGGATTAGCCTCCAATACATGCAACCCAAAGCAAATGGGGCTCCAAAACAGGTACTACAGTCAATTGATTAGGACCAATTCTGTAGGAATGACTGCTTTAATGAAGAAAAAGGAATTACATCTCCAATCTTCAGCAGGTTAGAAAGTACACATGATTGTGTAGAGTTCTGCTAATTATTCTTTCAGCACTAGATGAGATCTTCCAAACCAAATCTTTAAAGGGTTTGCAAAATCTAGCGTCTAATCTTCCTCAGGACTAAAGGTGAGTTTGCTGCAGGTCACTACCATCACCTAACCGAGGCACAATAGTGACATGTATGTCATTCAACAACACTGGGCAAACACATTATGCATGTCTACAGAAATCCATAGCTACTAAAAGCATTCAGACTTGCAATGTGCTTAAGTATCTAAACCACAGCCGCCTACCAATTTTAGTTAACATTGTACATATCCATATCCCAGAAGATCCTGTAAAACACTTACCTTCAACTAGACCCAGTCCAAAGTTCACTTTCGTCCCCCAAAGACTCATAAGAAAAAGCAGTAATCCATTTACAAGCCAAAACTCCATATCTTCCTTCAGATTTTATCTTCTTCTACATACTGGCTCATCAAGCTAAGAACTCAGCCTCACCTGGAGCAGATGGGTCAGGTGTTACTTTGCTTACAGGTGAGAGCAATGAGGTAATCTGGGAGACCAAGCCACACAAACAATAGGAAGTAGACAATGTAACATTGATAAAATAAGAGTCTTTTTACAGAACTAAGGATAAAGTGCATTGGATGGTGACCTTAGGAGAAAAGGACTGGGTCAGCCAGTGTTAATACCTGTAGCACTTAAGATGTATGAGTTATAGATACGCCCTTCATAAGAGGTATAGTATTGAACTAGAGGGAAAGAAGTTCCCAGACCAGCTGACCTCTCAAAAACTGACACAAAAAAGCTTTGTATTTTCTTCAGGAAAGGTATTCTTTGAACAAAATTAGCAGCTAAATCCGAGCAATATGACAATACTGGCTAATCATCTGGAATTTACAGGCTCAATAAGGATAGCTCAATGACAGAGGACAGGTTGGGTGATCTGATGATACATTTGTCCTTAAAGCCCAGGCATGAAAGAAAGGAGACAAAGCAGTGCGTTCACTGCAACTCACCTGTGTAAATCCTTATTCTCCACGTTAGCTGCAAGCTTTCTTTTTAGGTGCCTTGAATGTATTTTGTAGAAGTATTTTGGGTGTCCTTCTGAGTCTATTACAGACCACACAAACACTTCAATAGACTTTCCTGGGCCTTAGTCCTAAATAAACCATGAGAATTTCCAAGCTGTCTTTTACTTTACCTCTTCTGGGAACCAAAACCCCTCTGAAAATGTTTCAAAGCTCTTCTAGGACCCGGCAACTTCGATGAGCTCAATGCAACAATGGGATCTGAAATTAAGGTTCAAGTTCTCTACCTGTTAGAGTGATAGTGGGTCTTTTTCTTAGTATCCACCTAGATGTTTTCTTACTTACTTATGAGTTTGTCTATATGGTAAAGAATAACCCAAGCATTCTCTTATTAGGTTGAGCTTGGTTTTGGTTAAGACCCATCTCCATATGTTATGCACAAAAGGTCTCACCATAACAATAGAACCCTAACCCTCCCCCAAAATATCCTTACAAATCTTTAGGCTCAACCCATCCAACTCTCTTTTTCATTTAGATTCCCCTTTAAGTTTTGCTTGTGCTGACAGAGAAGCTTTCCCCTATCTCTTTCTCTCAGCTTCCTATTCCTTTCTGTTATGATTACCTAATAGTTACATATTTCATCTTTGTCTCTTAACCAGAATTAATTGGTTTATGTTCCACATACAGTATTTTCTTTGATTAATTAAAACACGTGCAGAGGAAGCTATACAGTAATTTTACTGCTGTTTTCTACTAAGTAGCTTTTTGTGCTCTGGATATTATCTGGCAAATGTGCAGTTCAATTAAAAACTACAAAAACAGAATTGAAAATTAATATAAACTAGCTAAAGTTGTAGCAAAGCTAACACCAGTGCCATCAGTTACAAGGAAAGTCATGACACACTACGCATTACTCGAGGAATTTGGCTTTTTTTAGCTGCAGAATTAAAATACAGTGCATCGGTTTGATGACATAATAGCAATACATCAGGTTGCCTACATGTTGCCTGAGTTGATGTAGATAATTTAGCATTCAATGGATAAATTTAAATTCTGTGTGTATTCTTATTCTAGGTGCAGCAGGTCAAACCATAAATAACAGACCTCAGTGTACCTAAGTCTTGCAGAGTTTGAAATACAGCTGAAGGCCAAAATCTTTCAGCCTGACACTGCTTCTAGGAAAAACATCACAGAGCATAGGCTGTCATATTTCACATGCTGGTGATTATGAACACTTTGTTCTACATGGGCAAACAAATACCATTTTCCTGTTGGATGTAGATAGGCCACATATTCATCACCTTTAAACTTGCCTACTGCAGTGCCCTCAGCTGTAAATAAAATAGCTTAGAGCAGGCATTTTAAGCATGCCTAAAAAACCTCTGTGCTCCAATAGCAGCTTGTGCTTCCTTTCCCATGCTTCTGTGCCTTGAAGAGGAACTAGTTTCAACAAGTGTATTATTAATCCTCTGCTTAGTCTTGATCACTCAAAGTCTACATGGAGTCACTCCTGCCTCTGGCTTCATAAACCAGCTTTCTGGAGCCAGCCTTCCTCCAGAGCTGTTAGTTCTGATCACTGCTGCTCTGCTGCACCTTGAAACTCAGCTCTGGGTAAGGAAAACTGAAGAATTTATACAACAAAACCAGTCACAAGAGCCTGATTTTGCCTGTAAGATCCGTGCACCTTTCAAACTCACAAGTCTGCCCCCCAGAATGAAGCAAAAGCAACTTTTAAGATCAATGTGAGCCAGGGACCCAAATATCACAAGATGTATGGCTGTGCAAACTCAGACTGCATGCACAGATACAGAGCTAATTTATTCTGAAAGTACTAAATAAGCATATGATAAATCATCAAAGTTGAGGGTTTGGGGTTTTTTTACTCTTTCAGTGGTATTTGCCACTGCTGCTACTAAAGCAACACTAAGATTGGTTTGATGCTTCAAATGTCATGGACACATCTCCAGTCACCATTCCTGTCCACACTATTTTCTAAATGGTATCTAAAATAATTTCCTTTTTATTTTCCCAGAAAAGTGTGAAATTGTTTTCAAAAGTAATTAGCACATTGTGCAGCAAGTAGGAATTAGTATAGCAAAACCCCTAGCAGTCCACAAGAGAATGGGTTTTGAAACAAATCACCTAAATCTTCAAAAGGTCTTGAGCCCAAAGGGGCATAGAAAATTACCACAGAGATTTAGTGTGAGTCCCTGTTGAGGTATTAGATCATGTGGGAATCTACTGTAATTATATTAAAGGTAAAGAGAATCTTTCTTTGCTGTGAAATGATAATAAATGGCCTGTAGTGACAAAGATACAGGGTCTAAGTCTCCTGAACCTGTAATCTTCCTTTTCTTGGAAAATAAGAAAATTGGTGAATGAAGCAAAGATGCTTCCAATAGCTGCAGGCAAACAGCAAGCAAACTTGTCTTTCTCCACCCTACTAATGCAGGGGCCATCAGCTGGGTTTGGACTGAAGAGAAGCTCTTCAACGCTTCAGGAAAACCATGCAAACAACTGTCTGGTGCTAGGCAAGCAGGCACGTTGATGGATGTATTTCGGCATTAATTATACCACGGAAGAAAAAGCTGCATTTTTGATGTGCAGTGTTTCACTGACAATTAAATGAAGTTTTAGTGTGAAAAAAAAAACCCAGACCACAATTTTTTCCCCTTCCTTTCATTCTTCTTGAAGTTGTTTCATTTTGTCCCAGCTTCTAGACACATCACCTTTTGTGTGTGTGTGTGTGTGTGTGGAAATGCCACTTTTTAATTAACTTGCTGCTCTGCTGAAGCTCCTGAATAAAATGTTTGTTTGATTATTTCCTTCTCCTTCCTTAAGATATTTTTTACATTTCCTATTCATTGCAGGTACTACAGATGTCTTCAATAAGGAAATCTTCCAATAACTGATTGAGGAGACCTCTGTTGACACAAATTAGCTCCCTAAAGCCCTGCTAAATATTCAAGTACTACCAAACATTTTGTAAAATCCCATCCAGAAGTGGCTTCAAAAAAGCACCCACCATTCATCTCAAAGGGAGAACATGAATGATCTGGTTTGAGCAGTTCTTTGCTGCAGGGTGTCAGGACCCCCCCCCCCAAGGGATGCAAGAGGTGGCCAGAAGGTCCCCTTCACCCAAGAGCTGTGCTTCACAGACCTGTTTCATGGGTCAGTTCCATCACCTGAGTCTGCTACAAACTGGCTAGAACTGTTCAGCAACCAATTTATGTCCCCAGAGCTTGGAAACTCTTGATAATATATCTTTCTACCCCCTGCTTAAGCCTAGTCTACACTTGAGACACTGTTTTCCATACCAAGTGACCTTATTTTCTGCCTGTAACAAACCCATAGAGAGCTCTGAGTGTTGGCTGTGGAGTTTCCTTCCACAGCACTTAAGAGCACCTATTCCTCAGTATTTTAGCCCAAAAAGAGAAAACCAGACAGCAGCAGATAACTATCCAAGTAGGCACTGGAGACAGAGTTTAGAGGACTTCTCCGATGTCTAGAATATGGCAGCAGTCAGGCACATCTACAGACAGGGACTGTTGGCCCCCGGCTGAGTTGAAGGGGGCCATTTGCAGGAATGGGGAGGCTCCAGAGGAGGCTAGGCAGGGACATGAGTGCCCTCAGGGGCCTGCCAATGTGACCCATCCCTTCATTTGGAAGATTACGTTTGCAAATGTTAATGCCAGTGGAAAAGCCAACAAATTACTTTCAATTTTACGATCTCAGCAGTTTTCTGAGATCCCCTTTCAACTATACCAACACTTTCTAGGATTACATATTTTCACACTTTTTTCATATATAGGTAGACAAGTACCTTTAGCACCAGATTAGATGATCCTGCTAATAGTTTACAAATGTAGGGAGTCTTCCTCCCTCATCATTAGCGCTTTGTTTGCTAGCTGACTGAATTATTGCTTGTAAGTACTTTTGGATTGATTAGCTCTTGCAGGGTATTTGGAGCTTTTTGAATCAATGTGCATTAATTTCTGGATCTTAATTGTAAGACATCAGAGAACTGGCTCACAGAAATGGTTTATCATATTTTATTGGTTTTGCATCGTTTACATGGCTACTTCTGACCCCTAACTGGAATGAAACACATATTCCAAAGTGTCTGTGTCCCATTATACAGGTAAATAAGACACAATTAAACCACTGACACCTCTAAAGTTTTCTCTTAAAACTGGAAGATCAATTGAAACTATGTAAATTTTCTTTTCCCCTCTTCTATATCAGTTTTTTAATCAAAATCTTATTTCTTTTAGATTTACGAAGCTGGATTGTCTTGTGCAAATCCCTTTGATGTGTGCTAGACAGTCTATGCTTGAGAATGCAAAGGCTTTAGTGAATTAACATGAAAAATATCAAATTTGCATTTT